ATTTAGGGGATAAAGAGTTATAGTTTCCCGTACTTTAGGCAGCTTAGATGTTTTAATTTGCATTCGCATTGATCCTGTGATATTTCTCCTTGTTCTGATTGACAACTGCATTATTTCAGGCTGGCGGAAACTTGTCAGATGTCAGACCATTTTGTACTCAGCTATTTTGTGAATTGTGCTCAAAGACAGAATTAAGTATTTTTGAAGTGATTCCAAGATCAATGTCTAGCAAATGGAAACTGACTCAAATATGTCCCCCAGAAGCTGTAAATCATCTTTCAGAGATTTTTAAACATAAAATTTTTTGTGGGGGAGCAGAACCCCAGATTGACCCCAGATCCCCTACCCCCCTCATACACAGTTTGGAGAAATAAATTATTGATGTTGCATACCTTCTCCTCTCCCTCTTCCAAACCCTCGACCTCGTCCTCTACCTCTTGTCGAAGCAGTGAACTGTCCATTTGTTTGTTTCCTTTTTGCCTTGTTCATATGCTTTGGACTTGTCATGTGTTGGATCATCTGTGTTTGTGAATTAAAAGTTGTAGTACAATCCATACAGCGCAACTCAATTTGAGGATGGTTTTTGGGTTGCTTGTCTGAAATTTTAAATGCAAGGTAATAATGAACAGAACTGACTGAACAGTTAATTACTCAAAGACCCTCTCTGCTATGAATTGACCTTCTGAAGCATCTTTGCCTATTCTCTCTTTGATCTACAGTAAATCAATCTTTAGAGATCATCAAAAGAACATACTTTTACTGCACAAGTAGAGACATAACAACAACGTCAATGTTTCATTGCTCTTTAACCCTTTAACTCCCAAGATCTCATTAGTAATTCTCCTCACATCCTACAATACAGTTCTTGTGATGTTAGTTTTGAGAATTTGGTATTCAATCAACTTATAATTCTCTAATTGAGTGCAATTTGAATTGAATCCCTTATCTGTCCGACAAGTGCATAAGCATGAAACTCAGAGCAACAGAGAATCATGCGTGCTTCATTGTAATTCCCTAATTGATATTTTTCTTTATTCTCATGACTTGTCTACCTGATATTGTATTGCTGTTGAAAGGAGAAATTATGTATTGGTCACTCATGGGAGTTAAAGGGTTAACTTTCTTACACAATGAAACACATACTACATACCGCATATCAAGTTATAGAATGAACAAAGTTGCTGAGCACCACAAATAACAAGGGCTAAACTTACTTGACAACCATATCAAGGAAGACTTTAGCAAAAATAATTGAGATAAGTCTTCATTACAAATAGTGCAGATAATAAAAAAACAAAATAGAATTCATATAAAAGGCATAATTGAAAGTATTTTGCGCATTTGATCATAGCGGAGCTTGCAGAGTGTGGCTAAATCTATATATTACAAAATAGTAGTAACCCATCTAGCCAAAAAAATCTGGATGTACGACTGTACAACTGTACAACTGTATGACTGTATGACCATACAACTGTACGACCATACAATTGTATGACCATACAACCATACAACCATACGACCGTACGACTGTACGACCGTACGACCATACAAGGTGCTACTTTTAGCACGTGCAGCCAACTGTACCACGGGCACTACCTTATAATCAGTCCTCTACATGGAGATGGAGAAGTTGCAAATGAAAATCCATTAATATTACCACACACTTTATCCATAGTAGGGGCTTTAGTTTTGTTGAAGAGAAAGCAGGAAAAAAAAATGCGAGCTCCGCTTTTAGGCTTGCCTAAATCTATATATTATGCACATGTAAAT